ACGAGAATGCATGAAATTTATGGCTCGCGCAAATTCAAACAGAGGCGATCGAAAGTAAAGGATTCATTGGATTGCGAGCGCATAAACCCGAGAAACATCCTCGTGATCGAGTTACATTTCCGGTGGATGCTCTTCGAGTCCATCGAACTGGATATCCTGTTCTCGCTTCATGGCTCTTTTTTCGAGCGCAAACGTATCTCCATCACGAAACCCTTCCTAGCGAAGGCCAGCCGATCGATCGTCTCGTTCGTGGCGTGGACAAACCCATGCCATAAAGATGCAAAGTAGCACGAAGAACAAAGAAGTGTATACGTATGTATATGTATGAAGGAAAAAATTAATCGAAAGAAAGAAATGGAAGACTTTTCTTTTTTTTTTTTTTTAGGCTCGAAGGATTGAGAAATTACGTCGTGTCGTTGACCGAAAGTCGATAGGATATGGGCTTGTTGGTCGGTCTGTTGGTGTTCTTTGGGCGATCGACTCGTGCGACGTATATACTCGTTTGGAGAATCTTCTCCCCCTCCACGAGCTCCGCGCCGCCAGGCCAGAAGCGCGTCGCGTAACCGAGTGGAGAGTCGATCTCAGGACACCGACACGAGTACGTTTCCTCGCCAGTTTCGCTCCGCAGGCTCCACACCACTGGTGCACTCCTGCGCGACACTCGATTGCACTTGGTTCGCTGCACACGCTCTCTCGTCGCGCTGCCCGCACTCGCCTCTACGCACATCACGCATATTCGTTACTACGCAAGGACTGTCCTCCGTCAGCTTTCTTTCCACTCTCTCTTCAATCTCGAGGGATCAGCTGTTTGCCCAGCTGCACCATTTTTTTTCTTGGCACACGTTAGAGACAACGTAGAGACAAGCTTCAAAATGAGGGAGATCGTACATCTGCAGGCTGGACAATGCGGAAACCAGATTGGTGCAAAGGTAAGTTAATTAATTTAATTAATTAATAAAAAATAAATAATAATTGGTTTTTGTTAATAAGAGGATAAAAAAGTTCACGTTGTATATATATATATATATATATATATTTATTTTTTTTTCTCCTAAACATTTTTAA